GGGGCTGGCAGGTCCTTACCTCAGGTAGTACCTGAAATAAACGGGTGGAGCTTTACTCACTTAATGTGGACTTTAGTGGAGATATGCTGATTTATACCATCTGAGAAGCTGGCCCATTATTTTATCCTTTCCTCAGTATTCTGTAAATACGGAGCCCACCTGCTTATAGGAGAAATTTAGGGTACTTTAGCCCAGTGTGCATTGCTGAACACTTAACCAAGTCAAATCTCACTTGCCATTGTGATGTGTAGTCTCCCTCATTTGAATCTCTCCAATCTGCCTAGTGCTGTACCTGGTGTTTTACATCATAACCTGCAGTTATGGACTCAGATTTAATGCTGTGTTTTATAATGAAGCAATCTCCTGTTCGCCCTAACTTAGATTTTTTTTCCCTTGGCAGAGGAGAACAAGTTCTGCTGAACACAGATACATTTTTCACTTAAAATCTCTATTTTTCTTGATTATTAAATTTGGATTTAATTGAGTAGCAAACGCCAAACATTTAGAAAAAATAGAAAGCAGAGAGCGACAAAAATAAGATTTACACGTGTCTGGTTTAGAACATGGAAGATGGCACCAAACATATCCTGTAATACAACTTTGTAGGAGAGGGAGTGCCAGGGTGAGTCTCTGTAAAGTGGGATCATGTCTGAGAGAATCTGACTTTGCAAGTGTGGAGTTAAGAGTGCATGTTTGGGTGGGTGTGGATGTGCCAATGTAGCTGGGGTTAGGAGGTGAAAATATGTCTGTGAACTTGACAGTATGGGAGTTGGGAAATCCTGTCGACTACTGGCAGCCCATAAATGTGTGCGGCATTTGAAAATGTGTAAGAGAGTGACTGATGTCTTGAGTCTGAGATTGAGAAGGTTTGTGAGCACATCTCTGCAAATGTATGTATCAGTGTACTCTAGTGCATCAACCCCTCAGGGCATGTCTGTACTTATGGCAAGAGTTGAAGATTTGTATCTGGAATGAATGTACTTATCCTGAAAATCTGATTCTGGTCTTGCTTACACAGGTTTTATACCAATGAAAATCCATGGAATTCATTGAAGTTACTTCTGATTTACATTGAGATGAGTCAGACTTTCTTCGCTGTATGAAAGAGGGTGCATATATATATTTCCATATAAATGAGTCTGTGTGTGTTTTTGAAGGTTTGTGTAGAATCACAGAGTTGGAAGAGACCTCAAGAGGTCATTGAAGGCAACCTCCTGCCCAAAGGAGGACCAATCCCAACTAAATCATCCTAGCCAGGGCTTTGTCAAGCCAGGACTTAAAAACCTCTAGGGATGGAGATTCCATCACCTCTCTAGGTAACCCATTCCACCCTCCTAGTAAAATAGTTTTTCATAATATCCAACCTAGACCTCTCGCACTGCAACTTGAGACCATTGCTCCTTGTTCTGCCATCTGTCACTACTAAGAACAGCCTCTCTCCATCCTCTTTGGAATCCCCCTTTAGGTAGTTGAAGGCTGTTATCAAATCCCCCCTCATTCTTCTCTTTTGTTGACTAAATAAGACCAGTTCCCTCAGCCTCTCCTCATAAGTCATGTGCTCCAGACCCCTAATCATTTTGGTTGCCCTCTGCTGGATTTTATCCAATGCATCCACATCCTTACTGTAACGGGAGGCCCAGAATTGGGTGAAGTACTCCAGATGCAGCTTCACCAGTGCTGAATAAAGGGGAATACAGTAATCAATTTTCTATATCTGCTTGCAGTGTTCCTCCTAATGTACCCTATTATGCCGTTAGTCTTCTGGGCTAAAAGTACACATTATTGATTCATATCCAGCTTCTAGTCCTCTGTAATCCCCACGGCCTTTTCTGCAGAACTGCTGCTTAGCCAGTCAGTTCCCAGCCTGTAACAGTGCTTGGGATTCTTCCATCCCAAGAGCAGGAGTCTGCACTTGTCCTTGTTGAACCTCATGAGATTTCTTTTGGCTCAATCCTTTAATTTGTCTAGATCACTCTGGACCCCTTCTCTACCCTCCCACATCTCTACCTCTCCCCCTGGCTTTTTGTCATCTGTGAATTTGCTGAGTATGCTATACATCCCCTCATCCGAGTCATTAATAAAGATGAACAAAACCAGCCAGAGAACTGACCCTTGGGGCACTCCACTTCATACTGACCATCAGCCAGACATCGAACCATTGATCACTATCCATTGAGCCTGACAATCTAGCCAGATTTCTGTCTGTCTTACAGTCCATTTATCCAATCCATAATTCTTTATTTGCTGGCAAGAAAACTTGGGAACACATATCAAAAGCCTTGCTAAAGTCAAGGTATATCATATCCACCACATTCCCCAGATCCACAGAGCCAGTTATCTTGTCATTGAAGGCAATATGGTTGGTAACTCATGACTTGCCCTTGGTGAATCCATATTGATTGTTCCTGATCACTTTCCTCTTTTCCAAGTGCTTCAAAATTGATTCCTTGAGGATCCCGTCCATGATTTTTCAGGGGACTGAGGTAAGGCTGACTGATCTGCTGTTCCCTGGATTGTTCTCCTTCCCTTTTTTAAAGATGGGCACTGCATTTGCCTCTGTCTAATCATCTGGGATCTCCCCGATTGCTATGAGTTTTTATAGATAATAGCCAATGGCTTTGCAATCTCATCAGCCAATTCCTGCAAACACTTGGATGCATTAGATCGAGCCGCATGGATTTGTGTAAGTAAACTTTTCTAAATAGTTTTTAACCTGTTCTTTCTCCATCGAGGGCTGCCCACTTCCTTCCCATACTGTGTTGCCTCGTGCAGTAGTCTGAGAGCTGACCTTTTCTGTGAAGACAGAGGCAAAAAAAGCATTAAGTACTTCACCTTTTCCCACATCATCTGTCACAAGGTTACCTCTCTCATCCAGTAAGGGTCCCATACCTTCCCTGACCACCTTCTTACTGCTAACATGCCTGTAGAAACCTTTCTTGTTACCCTTCACATCCCTTGCTAGCTACAATTCCAATTGTGCTTTCACCTTCCTGATTACAGCCCTGCATGCTCAAACAATATATTTATACTCCTCCCTAGTCGTCTGTCCAAGATTCCACTTCTGGTAAGTTTCCTTGTGTTTAAGCTCACAAGGATTTCCCTGGTAAGCCAAGCTGGTTGCCTACAATATTTGCTTTTCTTACTGCACATCGAGATGGTTTGTTCCTGTGCCTTCAATAAGGCTTCTTTAAAATACAGCCAGTTCCCCTGGTTTCCTTTCCCCTTCATGTTAGCATCACAGGGATCTTGCCCATCAGTTCCCTGAGAAAGTCAGTCTGCTTTTCTGAAGTTCAGGGTATGTATTTTGCTGCTCGCCTTTCTTCCTTTGGTCAGGATCCTGAATTCAGCCATCTCACGATCACTGCTTCCCAAGTTGCCACCCATATCTACTTGCACTACTCGTTCCTCCCTGTTTGTGAGCAGCATGTCAAGCTGCGTAGCCATCTCACGATCACTGCTTCCCAAGTTGCCACCCATATCTACTTGCACTACTCGTTCCTCCCTGTTTGTGAGCAGCATGTCAAGCTGCGTATGGCCCCTGGTTGGTTCCTTCAGCACTTGTACCAGGAAGTTATCCCCAGCATTTTCCAGCAACTTCCTAGATTGTCTGTGTACTGCTGTAAATGGGGTCTGCATATATTAGAGTCTGCATTATGAGTAGGCCACATAACTATTTTGTGGTGTGTGCTCAGCATTGAATTGTGCATGTGTGCGTGCACACACACACACACACAGAGCTAAACATTATATTACACACACACACACACACACTTGTATGTATTTGTATTTCTATACAGATGTGATGTGTTTGCATGTGGAAGTACATATGTCTGTGCATATACATGTGTGTAAACTTCTGTGTATGTGTAGGTGCGTGTCTGCACATGCAGTGAGGTACATGTGTAGATATGCATGTAGCCTATAATATGCACCTTTCAATTCAGGACCTGAATGCTTTCTGAACACTAAATGCATGGCATGACCAGCTCCTTTTGGGTATAGTATAGGGAGTCGGTAGGCACATGCACACGCAGGGAGAGTCAATGTGTCACAATAACTTATATTTTAAGACAGAATCAGTTGATGGTAGTTAATGTTACTGTTATCTGCATTTCTAAGTCACCCATCACTGTGGCACTTGACTGGCACTCACCAAAGAATGAGGTTGTTGAATAAATCCCAAAAGTTCTGTTTCCCCCCACACATTTAGACTGGTAAACACACATTCATTTCAGCTCAAGTTGGATTTTACTGGCATGACAAGTTGCCCAAGATTTACCACAGTGCAAATAGAGACAGACCCCTCAGGCTTCAATACAGCTATACTGTGTTTGGGGGTTGATGCCTTCTGCCTGCTAGTCTTGTCCATTCAGGAGCGGGTGTCGGGCTGCTACTTAGCACAATATTGTCTGTGCAGTCCCTCTCGTTTCTTCCAGGGTCAGGTTTTTTCCATCAGTTTCCGATGAGAAGCCTTTTGTGATTCCTGATAACTTGAGGAAATGATCAGGAATTACATACGCATGCACAGGCAGCATGAGGTTTTGTTCCTGACCCCGAAGTTGTTCTCCCTAGCAGACACTTTAACTGTCACGGGCATTCAGAGGAACCTGCAGGCTATGCGTTTGGAAACAAACAAACAAAAAACAAAGGAGACCCACCAGCCATGAGGTCCTCTGTCTCACCCCCTTTTGCTGCCAGTGGAATTCGCATTGTAAAGGGCAAGGGGGACTGTGTAAAGGACCAAAGGTCGTTCACTCTCCCCCTGGTTTTGCCCAGCAAACTGTGGGATCACAAGCTCTGTGGATGTGTGATCAGCGTTCTCTTTCCTCTGATGCTGTTAGCCCATGTGTGGGTATGTTAGTCTATTGAAGTCTCACTTGCTTACCCCCCACCTCTCTCCCTCCCACCCTCCTCCCTGCCCAGTTCTGCTCTGTCACTTCAAGTCCAGCCCCTGAGTGGTAACCAATAGCAGCATTTGCCATATTCATCAGTCTCTCAGTCTTAAAGCTACAGTGGGGTTAGTGGGATCTAAATCTCTTGTGTCTGTGTCTTCTCAGCTGTCTCTCTTCCCGCTGCCTGCTTCAGTGCGTCTGGATGAGTGTGCGTGTATGTGGATGTGCATGTCTGTCTCTTTCTCTCCTGTCCTCTGTAACTGTCTCTTCTCTATCTCCATTCCTTTTCTTCCCTTCCTTGTCTTTTTTCTTGCTGTCTTATCCCCTTTCTGTGGCTACCTTTTTTCTCTTCACTGTAATTTAATTGCTTTTCTCTGCCAACTGGGAATGCTAAAACTGGACTGATGGACATTTCCGAACTTTGCATCTCAGACCCTCTCAGCTACCACAACCAGTAGGTGCCCTGTTTGGTTTGGTTCGGTTTGGTTTTGCCTGTGCTGGAAATGACAGGATGGCACTGGTGTGAGCCTGAGTATTATCTGACTTTGAGTTGGGAAGGGGGGAAAGCAATTTTTAGTTGAGGTTCTTCCCCCAGCCCCAGCCGAAATTCTTCTGCAGTTTTCTTCTTTTGGACAAACTATGTAGAGGTGGGGATGGGATTGTGTGTAAGGGGAAGTTAATATTTAGTGCCTGTCTGAGGCTTGGAGGGAAGCAAATCTTTATTTAGAACAGGTGCAGATCAGAAAGACTGCTTAGGTGAAAGTAAAATCTCTTTAAGGAAATCTCTCCTCAGTTTGATTTGACTTTAGTTTGTGCCAGTTTATTAAATTCTCTCTTGTAACTTCTTCCTTTAATGTTTCATCTCTGGGAAACACAGACTGATCAAACAGAAAATCTACAATGCACATTCTGCTTTTACAGATTTACTTTCTGTTTGTGCTCAGGGCTAAAATTGCTATTAGATGAGCTAGTGGGTGTATGTAAATAACTATATACACTCTCTACATAAAGTTGATACATTAAAACACCGATATTTTATTGGGTTCATTTATTTAAAAGAAAGGGAAAAGTGTCATTTGTGGAAAGCTAGCCTTCCTAGGCTTGCAATCAGGGCAGCCAGACCGAGCAGGCATCCCAAGCTGGACTGATGACAGATTCTTCAGCACCTGCTGGTGTTCTCGCTTTTTGTATGTTACGTTGGAACGTGCCCGACAATGCTTTGTGTAAAATCACTTTAGCAAGTACGTTGGAGTTGATCCTTTTCAGGAAATTTGGGAGGGAGGTCTGAATCTCTTGCAACTGTGTTCCGTCTATGAATGTCATTCCTTTTCAAGTATTTTTCTCTTCTCCAACAAATCTCTTTCTAAGCAGAGTCTCCTTTTCTGTATTCGGGTATTAACCTGTGTGTCACCTTATAAGAGCTATATGGTGTCACCTGAGAGGGAAATAGTCACTTTGGTTCATTTGCTTAATAATTGCATCCTAGTTAGCATGAATTAAAAGAGAATTTAAAAAATGAATGCCTTTTACCCCGTTCTCATTACAGCATCATCTGTCTCACATCTTTCTGTTTCTCTCTCTCTCTCCCCCCCTTTTTCCTGAGTTTCTCTCATTTCTTGTGTCTTTATGTGTTCCTCTTTCCTTTACTCCTTTGCTTTCAACAGTGCTGTTAAAATCAGATTTATTATATTAAATGGGAATTACCAGTTTAAGCCCTATGCCTTTTGTGACTGGTGCTTCTCTTTCAGCTGTTCCATTGTGATTTCAAACTAAATAAACAGATTCATAAAGGAAACATGGATTGCATCTTACTAGGTGTTTCTAATACGAGGTAACAGTTTTGGAAGTCCACTGTTATCTGCATGAAAAATAGTTTGATCAAAGCTTAATTACCAACTATCATGTCTGCTCTTAACTTTTTCTTGTTCACCCTTTCTACTTGTTGAATTCGGAAAAGCAATCCAGACAGCACAAAACCAAGAAAAGTAAATCACTCATTTGATTATTATTAAAAACTTTTACTATTTAATGGTATCCCTGCACAGCCCCCAAGAATAGTGTATCCAATGCGCTTCACCCCTGTTTGCTCTCTTAACTTTGGCATCCGGTTAGACACATGAAAGTGGCTTGGGAATGTGGGAGACACATGGCTCAAAATGTGCCGGAGAGCCTACGCTTAGGTAATGATAAACTCTTGGTGTGATCGCTATATTCTTTTTTCCTGAGCTTGCATGGCTTCTAAGCTTATTTACAAGTTTTGGTTGTGTGCAACGAATATTTTTAAATGGGTTTGTGTGTTTTTTAATTTTCCCATTTTAAAATAAAGAAATGTTAAAAGGTCATAAACCATGGGGCAAGTGCTGTTGAAGCCATGGCTAATCCAAAGTCTGAAGAAAGTCAAGAGGAGAGGAAAGATGTGGGAGGCCTTAAAGATAATGTGTATAAATAAAAATGTATACAATGGCCAGGGTCTATTTTGGTTTGCACACTGGTGTAACTGAGATTTCAGTGTGATTGTGTGTATGTCAGGATAGAATGTGACCCCACATATATACATTTATCTATCTATACGGTGTGTGTAAATAGTGCAAGTGTATCGTGTATGCAGGAGTATAGATGTACCTATGGCATATTGTAGTGTATATGCTTATCTATACCTGCTTGGGTGAGTATATTGTCCAACATATACTGAATACTGGGCATTGACATAGTACAATTATGCAACAATTATGTTTAGCAAACTGAACATTACTCTGAATGAAAAGTTTAAAATATTGAAAGCTGCTCCTTTATGTATTTTAATAGTGATAAAATGGAGGGATAAGTGGGCAAGACACCTTGCGTGAGCCACACAATGCCCGGAAGTTGTAGTTTACATAGGAGACAGAGAGGGAAACCATGATCTCTCTACCTTGGTGACCAGGAAAAGATCTAAATTACACAAGTTCCAAATCCAGGGGTGAGTCCAGACAAGAACTAACTGAGCAGAGGAATTCAGCTCTTTCAATAAAACTCCATTATACATTGAATTTCACCTTCCTTAAACAGTAAAAGTTTGCTTTGTTTTGCATGTGTGTGTGTCCCGACTTGAGAAATGACACAGGGAAGCGGGAAGGACTCCTATCATTGGTATCCATTGTTTCCTACAGTGCAGAATCTTTCAGTGTCAGTGAGAAAACACTTGTTTCTAATTGTTGACCGTGTGTGGTGTGATTTGATGTGAGGGAGTTACTGCTTTAAATGACCCGTTGCCACTTTCATATACTCATGTTTGGGAAAGTTCTGTCTGTGTGCAGGTGCTAAGGAAGAACCTTTTTGCAAGGCTCAAACTGAGCCTGCAATTTATCCCACAGGTTAGGGCAGGCAGAATCAACATCCTTACAATGTCTGTCTGCTGTACAGTGTATAATATACATGTGCATATTTAATGTATACAAATATATATGTATATATAAAATACCTGTATTGTATCTTTGGTGTACCATACATAAATGTAAAATTCTTTCACAAAAGAGTGAAATCTGGCATTTTACCCTTTAATATTAATTTCACTGTCCTAAATGAGAGAAAAGGGTTTTTTTTCTGTTTTGTTTTAGTTACTGCTTCAGATGATCTTAAAATAGTGGGAAAATGTCATTGCTATTTCTAAATAATATACTGGAAAGAGGGAGACTGACCAAATTACATGAGTGTGTGCATGCACGTGTACAATTGCCTAACTACGGCATTCTGCTAGACATTGTCTTTCAGTGCATTTCCTTTGTAAAAGAGAGGTGCACAAATCATTGTTCAGTGATGATTATGAAATATGATTGTGCAATCAGGAAAAAATGTTAAAAGGGAGTAAGATATCTGTGTTTGTGTAGAAACAGACACAGAAATATTGTACTGGAAACTTGATCCAATGAAAGAGCAAATTCAGAGAGAATTAGTAAATCTGTTGTTGATTCTTATTTACAGACTGGGGAAATGTGACTTTGTTTCCAGTAACCTCTAAAATCCCTATAGTCTGTGAATGGAAAGAATTGATGTTAGATGCTGACTGTAGCTGTGTACTCTTGAGCATTTCTGGAGGTCTGGAATAAGGAGTTGGTTTTGGGTTTTGTTATATTTTACTAACAGCATCAGTTGAGAATTGTTTGTAAGGAAATGAACTGAAGTAGCTGTTCGGTGAATAGGCTTCCCATCACAGGACCAGGTCCTGCTTTTACTAAGCTTATAAAAAATCTGGCTGGCACTGGAATCTGGGAAATTATTTTATAGGATTTTTATTAACTTCCTCACCTCCTCCCAACTTCTTTCTTTCTTTCTTTCTTTCTTTGAAATTAGCAAACAAGCCAACAAACTTTAATCATATTTAATTATTGAGAAATATGAAAAGATCAATTTATTAAAGAAAACCCAACCAAACAGAAATCTTTCATTGTATTGATTTGAAGTAATCAATAAATATTGCATTTAGCCTGAGAGGGAAAAGACTTTGGAGGGATTGCATTCAAAGAAAGTTGCTGTGGCAAAGGTTTCATATCCCAGTTCCTTCTCAGAGAGGAACATTGCTCACAACCCATTGTCCTGATTTCAGCGACTCCCAGCCCTGATTTTTCCAAATTATCTGTGCCTCATTCTCATTGTTGGTTTGTAATTTTATGCTTCCCAACATTTCTTATGGTCTTCAAATCAAGGGGGTTTGTGTGTGACACCAGCAGCTCTGTCCCAAAGACTTCATGTTTCAGGGAATATGGAAACTCTCCAAAGAAATACATGGAGGAGGCAGAAGGGATATAGCTAAGCCCATCTGCAGCTCATGTCTCTATGGGGATGATGGACATTCTTGAGAAACCTCTTCAAAGCATGTAAAATGTCTTGACTACATTAAGTTAGAGAAGGAAATAGTGAAAGAAGATGGTGTATGCTGGATATACGAGCCAAATCCCTGCTCTCAGATTTTGTCTGTTCTGTTCTGCATTCCTCAGCCCAGAAGTTGGGAAGTCCTACTGGCAACCAGAGTGTGTCCATGTTGTATACCTCAGAGCTGAGGAAAATTTTCCTCAGTAAGTCCATCTCCATATCTCATATCGTTATTTAACTTAATTTGGCATCTGGGATATACAAAGGGTTTTTACTTGTTTTTGTTTGTTTGCATGGGTGGGTAGGTAGGTAGGTTTAGCATTTGTACAGTGCCTCGCATAATGAGGACACAACCCTGCATTAGGGTTCCTAGGCACCGCCGTCAAATAAGTAATCAGAAGTTCCATAGGTCACTATGAATCTAGTGGCTGTTTGTCTGAAGATTCTGGGGGACAATGAAAACAGCAGTGATCAGATTTGTCTATTGTGCTGAAAACAGGACAAATCTTGCATGGTTTCTGCTGTCCAGGATTGACTGCAGTTCAGCAGTAGATGAGGTGATCTTTGTGTGTATTTTGTAAGTTAGCCTGAAAGTGTTCTGGAATG